GCAGGGGATTAGCCTGTCTTTTCCCTGAGCGATAGCGCTCATGGGTCTTCCTTGGGAGCACCGCCAGCACGAGAAACGGGCGTCTGGGGGGGCTTTTGTGGGCAGGGTGGTTCATCCTTCGGAAGCGGTGGCGAAAAATATATTTATTGGGGTTTTCTTCAGGGTGGGTGAGCGCTTGAAAAAAAAAGTCTTTTGCGATGCCGCTTTGATTTAGAGCGTTTGCTGCTTTACTCACGTCGGGATCTGAAAAGATAAGTTCTCCTTAAGCATGAAAATAGGAGTACAGTTACCTGCTGTCATTTCTTGCATTTTGTGAAGCACAGCTGGAAAACCCAGGGCCACTTTTGTTAAAAATCTAGGAGGGGGACTGTGTGCTGTCCGGTGGACCCCTGGGTGGCTGATTTACGGTTATGGGTCTGCTGCCGGTGTAAAATGAAGCAAATCTGCCCATTTTGTCTTCATCCGGTGGGGGGGGGGGGCTGTCAGCTTCTTTACCCGAACTTCAGTGCAGCACGCCAGAGCTGTTGCGTGTGGCGGCGTGTGTTCAGACACATTCAAAGCTCTCGGGAGCAGGAAAGTCCAGGCTTTTTCATCTCGTGCCTGGTGCAGTCATCGGGGTGACTCTCGCTGCCGTCAGTGGGTGCTGGATTTGGCCACCGTAGAACGTACTATTGCTCAAACAGCGGTGGGAGGGGGCTTGGCTACCCCAAACACCAGTTTTATGCTTGTGTCTCTCAAATGAGTAAACATTTACTTATGTGTGTGAGTAGAAACGAGACTTTCTGCCTGTTTATTATGATAATTTTAGGGGTTCATCTGGACAAATGAAGGTGCCCGTGTCTTACGGACTTCTCACAGGGTACAAAATTGACAGAGCCACCTCAGTTTGCATCCAAGTGCACAGGGAGCTTTCACGTGGTGAAACAAGCCATAAAAATGAAAACTGTGTTTTCTTAAAAATTGTTGCTTCTTGTACTTATCTTGCTGTAGAAATTAGCCAGTTGATTTAGCAGGGTAAATTGAAAGTAGCCCTCTCTGGTTGAAGTTAAAATGTGTACATTTTTACATAATAAGATGGTATCTTTGGAATCTGATTTAACATAATGAACAAGTGGTGGTGGTAGAGATAGGTGGAGGATTAGCAGTTTGTGCTGCCAGACAGGTATCTGAGAGCATGTCCTTGGGAATACTTCCATTGTCCAGGCTAGTATTGCAGCATCTAATGTAACAGCTGGAGATATTCCTCCTTTCCCGACGGATCCTGCTTCCATTTAAGTTGGTAGCAAAAACCACCCACTCCTTTTCTGCAGGAACTGGATTGGACTGCTAACGAATGGAGCTAGACTTTGTGCATATTAAAACACCACTTTGATTTTTGTGTCAAGCTGATTTCTTTTCCTCTGAAGCTGATTGAAAGCAAACAAAAAGAAACTTGATAGCCCTAGGTCCTTCAAGTCTTGTCTGCAGACCAAGCAGTCTTAAAGAGCATTAAATACATCTGTAGGTGCTGTTTTATTAAAAGTTGTATTCCTTTGTACACCTGCCTTTTTTTTTTTTAATGGGAAAGATGAAATAATGAGTTTTGCAGTGTTTTGGTGGAAATAATAAATATTCCAGGTGCTTGAGTTGTCTGCCTGAGAGATATCAAGGAGCTTGAGATAATGTCCTAATAGCGAGGAAAACCTCAAATTTCATATTCTAAAATTGTTTTTGTTTTAGTCTCCATGAAGTACAGCAGATTTGATGCGATATCTAGTTTGAAGGGGGTTGCCATCATTTACGCTAGCTGCTTTTATTTTTTCAATAAATATTTCATAGGGAAAACATTTTTTTTTTAGGAACTCTTGACTTTTTTCACAGTGATGTAAAGCACTCCTGGCACAGTTCATCTCTGGCAGTGCTAACACTAGACAGGTGATCCAAAATACTTGTGACTATTTTTGCTTTTATGTAACATCTTAAAGTGTAATCTGTCAAACAAGGAGAATGCAGCACTTTGAAAGTGTAAGTAGTCTTCTGGTGATCTACTTCTTATAAGGGGCTGGATAGCAGGAGAGACACCTTCTTTAACTCAGCTTTATACGTGTAAGTGGCTCGTGAGGGGGCAGCTCCAGTTGCAGTGGTTCCTTAACATGCACACACGCCCAAATCAGTGCCAGAAACAGCAGCTTTCAGTTACCAAGTCCAAAGATCAGGAGCGTTCCAAAGGAGAGAGCAAGGTCCAGCTTCAATGTAAGCAGGTTGGCACTAAGCACAGATCTTTAGTGTTGATGAATCTTCTGCTAATTAATGGTTTGTGGAAGATGAAGTTTGCCAATCTGAGTACAACACTCATTTTCTTCAGGGGGATATAATTGCATGTTTTCTGCCACTTCTTTTGATTTCTAAACTTTCACCAATCAGAGAAGCTGTGCTGTCGTGAAGAGGTTGCCTGTTTTCTATAAATGGAGAGAGACCCTCAAAGTGTGTTAGTTCTTTATTTCTTCTATAAACAGTCAATTTTTGTGTTTGCTGTAGTGGAAGCTTCAGGTTTGTTCAGCATTACCAAGGCAAACACTATAACAAAAAATAAGATAACAATGCTTGAACTGTTCAACACAAGTGGGGAAAGGAAGCCCTGTAAATGCTGTGCTAACGTTGCTGTTTGATGTGCTGAAGTCAAGCTGAAACTGAAGTCCAAAGCAAATGTGTGGCTGGGAGACAGCAGAGGTATAGTGGGAGAAACAGGCCTGGATGTGTCACAGGCCCTCTGACTTAAGGCTGTAGGGTGTTAAATGGGGTGTCACTGTGCAGAACAGAAACTGCACTGCCACGTTTGCTTCACCCATGGCTCCTGATGAACGTGTCAGACTCTGGGTGTAATTGCAAAGTGGCCAGGAGGAGCTGTGAAGATGTACTGGCTGGGAGATTCCTCCAGCACAGAGGGGATTTTCGGGGTGGGGAAGAGCTGATTTGAGGGGCATTTCCAGGGGAGAGCTGGGGCAGTCTTCAGGGGTGTTGGTACATCTTCAGATAGGGCTTGAAGTTGTGACTAGGAGCAAGAAGGCTTGAAAGGACCGAAAAAAACCTGTCAAGTCACCGGAGAACAAGTTTTTGGTTTTCACATGTCCCTTTGAGGGTGGAGGCTCAGCTAGCTCAGGTGAGACAGCAGCCACCACCACATCAAAATGACTGTGGATTCAGGCTGCTGCAGCGATAGTAAAACCATGCCCAGAGTCCTGCTTTAGGCAAGTTCAGACCACTGTCCTTCCAAATGAGGGGCCTGGTTCAGTGCTCTCCCCTGTTTGATACATAAAATCATAGGTGTTGCCATATAATGGCTGAAGTTCCCAACCTGTATAACATGATCAGTATTTTGAAGAGCAGTGATCTTAGAGAGGAATTTCTCCTTAATACCGCTCTGGAATTGAGTTTTAAGTGGCACTGAATGACATGAGTCTCAGTCTGTGTAATTATTAGGAGCCAAAGCCTGTTTACTTTGCATTCACACCATTAAAAATGTATTGGATTTCATCTGACAGCTTGTTTCCAGTGAATT